GATGTCCTCGCTCTCACAGTGTACTGGCAATATAGCACGGAATGTGAACTCCTGTTTTCTTTATTCTAGTTCACTCCATCTACTAAAATAACTGGCTTTACATCATAGAAGAATTTGGCTGATACAAGATGATCCACAGAACTTAATATAATGCTAGTGAATTTATTTGCGACATGATAACATAAGATAGACAGCAACGTAATCCTTTCAGAATTTATAAAGTGTACCAAATTTTTTTCGAGGGATTTAAACTAACCTCAAGTCCTGTGAATACTATATACCCTTAAATTTTCAATAGTTTGAGGGTAGTTGTGTATATAATGATTTCTAAATGACAAATCTTATCGAGAAAAACTCCCCGAAATTCCACAAAATGCTCTTCAACCTCCATACAAATATGTATTAATGACGCCTTGAAACGGTAGTAAGACAATGCTATTAATACAATATAAGCATTGCATACGAAGCACGGTTGGAAATTGGTATCTTGTTCTAATATAGTAAATGTGAGAATATTATAAAATTATTAGTATCAAGATTTTTGGAAAATACAACATATAGAACAATATAAGTTCAAGATTAAACAATCAATTTAAATTTTTACTTTAACTTTGGTAGTAAATTCATGCGGATTTACAAGTATAAAAAATATATTTAAGCTATATAAAAGTGTAACTAGGAAACTGAGTTAGAGTTTTTGTTACAAGTTATAAGTAACATTTTGTTAGCAAATTCTTGGTTTACAAAATTGTTGCTACTCTTATAAAATTGATTTTCATTGAAAATAGTCGAGGGTTTCCGATAAGGAAGCAAAAAATTTGTAAAGGCTAACGTTCCCCTTTCTTTTTTTATTTATTCTTGTTATGAATACCCTGATGACTTCATAAGATGCCAATTGCATACCCTGCTTTGTGGAAGGTAATAGTTGGATCATTTAAATTATTAAGTACTTGTGGATTTAAATTCAAAGCCAAAAGTCTATAAAAAAGTGGAAATGCGCCCTATTTCATAGTTTTGTATATATATCTTCTCTAATCAAATTCCAAAACAAAATAGCTCATGTATATCATCGGACAGATTCCATTACCATACAAAAACTTACAGTAATCGAGCCAACCAACTGTGGGTGATGTAAGCCAAAAGTCTGTTAAAAGTCGATTTGTCCCTATTCCATGCTCCCCAGTGACACAGTGGTATGATTGTGGACTTACAACGCTAGAAACCAGGTTTCGATGCCCGTGGTGGGCAGAACACAGATAGCCCATTGTGTAGCTTTGTGCTTAATTACAAACGAACCAAACCCATTTCATGGGCTTTTTATCCCCCTTCTCGGGCTAAAATCCTAAAACAAGATAGGTTATGTACAAGTCGAATTCTATACACAGCTAATTCTGGGTGGTATATGCTTTGCTAACACACACATACATACATACATACATACAAATACATAATGGATTATCTTTGTAGTAAGATTACTAAGCAACTATTCACTGTACAAACCTGATGTATTATTTTCAACCTGAATGACACCTTATGCGATAGATGAACTATGCTGCCAGGTCAGAAACCCCAGGGCTTAGACTTATCCGTCCCTTCTTTAGAATTGTTTCTGATGAAAAGTAATCAGTTATCAGCCCTCACTGCCTATATGGCGACTTTTAACCGAATAGGTGGATTGACTGACACTTTTATAACGCGACTACAGCTGAAAATGTGGAGCGTGTTCAGCGGCATATTGAAGGATCGAACTTCCATTCTACAGTCTAGCATCTAATTATTAGGCCACACCCAGTCACACGCCGTTTTAATATAACAATAGTTAATTGCATTGCTCCATTATTATAATTCATAATTTGAGTACAAAAGTCAGCGATTTTCAAAGGGGTAGATTAAATCATTCTGGTGTGAAAAAATATATACAGATGTACTAGTAACATTCTATTATCTTGACACAAGGCACAATAATGTTTTCACAAGGGCTGCGCTCAAAGAAAATACAACAATCTGAGAAGAAAATATCACTACTTTCAGAGCATGAAGTGTTTTAGTATATGTCTAATGGGTGGGTTTTCAAGAGGGTAGATGTTTGGGTTTTATAGTCGATGTTGACTCGTAAAATAACAGGCATGTGGCGGCATGTTTATGGCGGGAAAGCTAAAAGAAAATGGTTTTTAACGTCATGTTAAGGATTTTCTTCCGAGTTCAGCTTTCAAGCCAGATTTTTTCCGTTGTTATTTTATGTTATCGGTCACACTTCAGAGGAGGCAGCTTGACGTCGAATAAAACGCAAGCAAGATAACCTACTTGAGCAAGAAGACAAATGGGTTCTCAAAGTTCGAAAGGTATTAAAATGTAACAAAAAACATTGTCTTATCCAAAGCAATAACAAGAGATTTTAAGTTATAACTTCGAAGTCAAACAGCTTTAGTTACACATCTTATTTTGGTTGATATGTTCTGTTGTAACCCCAACGACACATTCCTAACTATAGTGAACATAGAAGGTCCACTCTATGGTTTTTATCGAAAGTTATTCTATTCTTCTGAGCAAGATGAAACTTCTATACCCTAAGGTTAAAGAAGGATTACCACAGATTCGTGTATAAATAAGAGCACGTGTTAAAGCTGTCAAGTTGATGTTCGAAGTCTAATATTGTAGGATAAGTAACAAAATGTAAAAACATACTTGTATCTTATTAAAATGTTGGTAGTTGCCCGGATGTCTTCTTTATAGAAAAGCTGATGTGTTATCTGTTATTCTAAGGTCTCCTCTGTTAGAACTTGAATCAACTAACCGATTGAATGTATTAAAGAGGGGTATCCAGGTTTTTCTGGATAACGCAACAGACTTCCACCAAGAAGACCCAGGATCGAATACCAGTCACTACCAACACAGAAATACTCCTTCTCAGGAGTTCTATCAAGAGGGCAGCATATTAGCAGCCGAAACGTAGGATAAAAACTAGTTAGTAACCAGTATTTAGTGAATAATAATAAAGCAACTAGTCAATAATTAAACTTAGGTTATCGTACAAACAACTAACCATGAAAACGATTGATATTCGATCGCCACATCCTTGCCGTAAGTATTTAATTTGATTTTAAGTAAGGTATTATTTCTGCTTTTGTAAAAAATAAGTATAATTTATATCAAAATATACATACATATATATATATATGTATGATGTATCCTATTACACCTTAACATTTCCCTAAAATATATTGTTCCTAAGGCATCATTGTCATTCAACTGAGGCCACTTGTCTTATTTGTTATTCTAATTTGTGTTGTTTTTTTTGCAAAAAGAGAACTCAAAAGATAATTTATTTAATTTAGAAAAGTGAATAGACAAATTGAGCCAAAAACATTAAAAGGATGCGTTTACCAACAAGTAGAATGACAAATTATTATAAAGAACAAAATTCAAGCTTAAAGCGTTGTCGGAGTACTGGATGGTTGAAAATATTAATTGGATAAACCATATACACCTAGAAGAGTATATGTTGTAAGGAACTAGGTGGCTAATCAAACAGACACATTTTCTTACTTCATGGTTTTGTTTGTTTATTTGTTGTTAAGAAAAATGTTGCAAAATGGTCTTACTGTGTTGTGCTTAACGCAAGAATCTAACCACGAACTTTAGCGTTTCAGACCCTCAAACCTATCGCTGTACCATCGAGGGTCGTTTTAAAACAGATTTTAACCAGAAGGAAAAATGGATTAACCGATATTTGAAAACCAGCGCACAACTAGCTTCAGAATCTTCCCAGGTTTTTTCTTCAAACATTATTTTTGTTTAATATGAAATGATAATGAAAAAAAAATTAAAATTTCTTGGTGAATTTCCTTGAGTTTTTAAATGTAAGAGCTTGGGGTAACTAAGATCCGTTCGGTCTGGATGAAATTGGGTTTTGTTAGACCTGAGGATGATTTGATTTTCTTTTATGAACTCAGCTGAATCTTGGAAAATAGCAGAACATACTGAGGTAAACTTCTATACTCAATCATGAGTGTTTGGAAATACCAAAAACAGCAACAATATGAAGTCATCTATGGTCATTATGGTATCTAGCGTCATCATCAAGCCTGGTGATGACAGATAATCAGTCACTGAGTGCACGAAATCGAACTATCTGGAGTTGTCCCTACCTTGTTACCGCATTACAGCTACTACACCTTAACAAAGGAGTTCTATTATTCTGATACTTTGCTTCTTTCCTGAAGGAACAAAGCTCATTTCAACCATATAGTTGGCACATTGTCCTTTAAGAGTTTATCTGGACAAAAATAAGCCACACACATTCAACATTAAGGAGATTTTAACGTTCAGTACCATTTGGGAAAAGAAGTAAGGGCCACATGCTTTTGTTACTTTATAAGCAAATGTTCATTTTGCGTGACATGATAAATTATTACAAACAAAACTATACTGCTACACCGTCCAAAATGCTAACCAAGACTTTCAGTTTGCTTTATTTTGGAGTCTGGAGTGTTAACAGACATGTGATAATGAAAAAAATGGGTAACTAAAAATGATATAGAACTTAGTACGGCTACAAAATACGGATATATTTAATCAATTTCTTTATAATTTATGTTCATCAAAGTAATGAATGTGTTATTCTCATCACAAGTAGCCTTGAAACGGATAGATAACTATGAGAAATCTTGTTTGATGTTACAAGATTATTAAAATTTGAGCCTACAGAAATACATGGTCACTCACAAAAACACAGAGGAAAAGGTATAAATATGAATACTGAAACCGCTATAAGGCATGCATCATTAAAATTCTCCTGGCTGAGAAATAAACCAGCTGACTTCCGTGCAGTACAAACAAAATAATATTCCAACAACTAAAATTAAACCATTGGCCATAGAAAACGATCCACTCTTTTATTTTCTTAAGTAACAAAATATATAGGTAAATTAATTAGTTATAATTCAAGAAATTATATATAAAATTAGCAAAACTATTTACAATACAAACTCCATCCATACCTTCCACCAAGCGCTGGAAAATGTGGTACTATAACTGGTGGGTACTCAGGCATACTATTTGGCGTTCGAATGTTTCCTGGTAAAATAAAACAAAATATTTATGCAACAATAGAGAATAACTCGATAGCGTTATAAATGAAGTCACAGTACAAATAACATATTTGACACGAGTGCGGGATAAGTCAAAAGCTAATTACCCATTTTATTTTGATCAACAGATTACAGACTAGAGAAGTTGGCATAGAAAGCTTATCGTAAGTGCCACAGTCAGTTTTATTTTATTTTATAAAAGGACGGAATTCAATAATTTTAACTACACAGTGAATATTCATAGATGGTTTGTGGAGATCAAAACAAGGCTTAATTAACGTCTAAAACTGTAGAAGCATTAAAAACCAAGACATAAAATATGTGATCAAAATCACATCAAATGAAAATGTGCCTTTTCCACGTTCATCTTAAATTGTCAATTTCTTATTCAAGTTGAGATGTATGTAAGAATGCCAGTTCAAGTCTATCTTCTGTCTCTTACAAGTTATTGCTCAAAATGCCTTCAGTTCAATACCAGAACTCGTCAGTTGGAAGTAACTTGTAGAAGACAGTAGATAGATAGATCTCAAAGCTATTTTAACACAGCTCTGATTTTGAATCCGAAATGGAAAATTTAAGAAGCCTTAAATTTAATACCAGAACTCGTCAGTTTGAAATAACTTGTAGGAAACAAAAGATAGATAGATCTCAAAGCTATTTTAACACAACTCTGATTTTGAATCAAAAATGTACAAATTAAGGAGAAATGCTGGAAAACAAATTATCATTTTGACATGATTTTGATTACAAATTTCAAGGGTTAACAATTTCGGCTATTTCTGTATTGTAAACATCACACATCTGTTTAGTACAGTGTCTTGACATGTATAGAATTGTTACTCACCACCATTAACCTTCAGTATTCCCGTTGTTTCCACAGTCTTGAACCCATTACTGGCCTCGCACTTATAGAAGGCTGTATCTAAAGTATCGAGATAGTGGAGACGAACTCTGGATGATACGTGACCTTTACCATTGTCTTTGTGTCTGATGTCAACCCGTCCACGTTCTTCTTGTAGCGGTGCCTCGTTCTTATACCAGTGAATAACAGGCGTTGGATGCCCATTGAAAGCACAAAATAACTTTGTTTTCTGGCCGGGAAAGCGGGTGATATTCACCAGAGGTCGTTCCACGCGCAAGAAATACTCTTGTGAACCTATTTGGACGAGAAAGACATGTTACCATTCTTGACTTTGGTTCTCGCCTTTGAAAATAATTTATAGTTTTGTGCTTAACTTCAAACAAACAAACGAACTAAGCATGTAAAGTTATTACTATTATTACTATCTACAAACGTATAAACTTTGGAGAGCCGTTTTGCTCTTCAGGTTTACCGATATCCTCACTAATGAAAGAAAAATCTCGTTTTCTTAAACCTCCAAGTTTTCATTTCAACGTAAGGCTTCTGTTTATTGCATTGTGAGAAGGTTCATTTTTATTTCAGTGTGAAGTCACTGTTTATCTCAATATTGTAATTTGCTGACTCCCAGTTTCCAGACATTTTAGCCTGGTGGTTAGGGCACTCGACTCATCATATGAAGGTCGCGGGTTATAATCCCGTACTCGAACATAATTACTCTTCCAGCCGTGGAGGCGTTATAATATCACTGTTAATTCCACTATTCTTTGGTAACGAGTAGCTCAAGAGTTGGCGATGGGTGGTGTTAACTGGTTACCTTCTCTCTTGTCTAACACTTCGACATTATTGACGGCTAGTGCAGATAGCCCTCGTGTGGCTTTGTGCGAAATTTAAAACAATCCATACAATGTAAATAAAGTTTACCAAAAAAAAACACAAGTCAGGTATGCTAATATAAATATTTTCTAATAAACTATGTCCAAAATAAACTTCTTGTCATTAAATTTACTTGATGTAGTGCTAAGCTAACAAAACAGATAATGCATTTCTCATTCTGGATTGGATAAGATAACAAGATTCCATCTATAGGCCCTCCAGTGGCACAGCGAGATGTCTGAGGACTTACAACGCTATAAACCGGGTTTCGATACCAGCGGTGGGCAGAGCACAAATAGCCCTTTGTGAAACTTTGTGCTTAACTACAAACAAACAATCCATCTATAGACTGAAGTTTCAACGTGAAATTGAACGAAACTTTTGTCTATGTTTGCCATAAATAAACATGATTTTATGCTTTCACACCCTAACTTGTGACTTCGTGTCATAATGTGTAACGTGACACAGAGCTGGACCCCTGATATAAACCTGTTTCAACAACAGTTTGTTTGTTTGTAATTAAGCACAAAGCTACACAATGGGCTATCTGTGCTCTGCCCACCACGGGTATCGAAACCCGGTTTCTAGCGTTGTAAGTCCGCAGACATACCGCTGTACCACTGGGGGGCTTCAACGACAGTTCTGTCTAGCTTTGTCATACACACACATGATTTTGTTTTAACATTCAAGCTTGTGGCTGCATGTCATATATGCTATTGATAACATTTCTACTTGTTTATAGTCCTAAAATAATTCAGTGAAAATAATAAAATAGTTGTAGATTATTATGTTACCAAAACGACAAACCGTTTAATGCTGTTCCACTTGTCCAGTGTGTAAGAGGAGTTGAGAATTCTGAGCCTGCTTCAAATCTGCAAATAGAAATGTAAATAGTTTATTCTTACAATATTTTAAGTTTTGGAATTTCTGGTACTTTGTATATCCAAACAATTTACTTTATTATTTTAACAGAAATGGAGAAAACACTTGTTAATTGATTTGCTCCCTGGTGGCTCAACAGTAATTCAGAAGCCTTACAACGCTAAAACACGGGTTTCGATACCTGTGGTTGGCACAGCTCAGATACTTAATTGTGTAGTTTATACTTAAAAACAAAGCAAACAATAATTTTTTTATACAGCTATACTAATTTGAAATCCTTAATGCTTTAATCTGTGAAGCAATAATTGCTTTATACAGCTATACTAATTTGAAATCCTTAATGCTTTAATCTGTGAAGCAATAATTGTTTTATACAGCTATTTGAAATCCTTAATGCTTTAATCTGTGAAGCAATAATTGCTTTATACAGCTATACTAATTTGAATTCCGCAATTCTTTAATCTGTGAAGCAATAATTGTTTTATACAGCTATACTAATTTGAAATCCTTAATACTTTAATCTGTGAAGCAATAATAGTTTTATAGAGCTATTTGAAATCCTTAATGCTTTAATCTGTGAAGCAATAATTGTTTTATACAGCTATACTAATTTGAAATCCTTAATGCTTTAATCTGTGAAGGTCCTATTTACTCATCACACCATATATTTATATCGTTTCAGGAAAACAGTCAACAAATAAAAATTGTTTGACTGTAATATTCCTTTTGAATTCACCAATTACATATGTTTACTTAGCAACACTGTACTGGATTTGAGTTTTTACAACGTAAATATTGCTATCAGAATACATTTTACCAAGGAAACTGAATCGTTACTCTCCACTCCGCAACGTCTCATAATCAGGCTAACGTTCTAATTTCTTCTGTTTGTCTAATATTAGCCGAAATACGCTAACTTCTTTGATCTTACAGTTGCAATTTTCAACTGTTGAAGTTGAATATTTTATTTTCTCAGAATTTTGTCTTGATTTCTAGACTTCAAGTCATGTTCAAGAATACAGAGTGACCAAACCCTCAAAAAATTCACGAGCAAGATAAACTTAGCAAAAACCAACTTACTGAGATGATTCATTTTACATTCCTACGTTTTGATAACGATTATAAATCATAACCGAGAATCTAAACAAATACTTCATGTAAATAAATAAGCAATTAAAAGGTAACAGTGGCTCCACTGTTCCCTCGCTTATATCATTTCCGGCTATTTAACTTTGTTTTTGCGCACATCTCAGGGAACAAGTGTTAAGATCATGTATTTGGAAGGAGTTTAAATCTATCTGACGTAATCAAGTTAATATATGAGGAGGGGAGTTCATGCTTCATGTACGAAACATTTTTTGAGTTGTGATAACTTGTATTTGAATGTCCAAAGTTTATAAATTGTAAAGGCAGTACTGTGTATCTAAAATAATTCAAATAGTTAAGTGACCTGCCCAGGCTTTTCAGTAAGAGGTTAGGTATGAACGAAACTGAGGGCCGTACAGGGCGTCTCAATGACTGAGAGGTTAAACTTAAGTGGGTTAAAAAATGAGAAACCGATCAACTTATCTAGTAAAAGACGCCAGATCTAGAGACGTTTTCAAACTGGGTATCGGGGGAAAGTATTAAAACTCAACAGGGTGACAGTACCGGTACTCTAAATGTCTACAAACAAATGAAAAAGTTCCCATACAAAACCTTAACGCATAAAAACTGCTGCCTGAAATGGGGCTCTGAGGGATGAAATATCCATTCCGTAAACTTACCTCTAACTTACAAGAGAAGTAATAGGGCATTAAAAACATATCATGTCGCAAGCATTTTCTCTACGACTATTCATCATAACAGCCAACAGCTGAAATGGTATCTTCAAACAAGGATTTCTATTGGATAAACTTGGAAAGTTAAGAAACACACATTGAATAACGAACACCCCTTCTAAACCACATAAGATAATATTAAAATGGCAAGTTAAGAAACACACATTGAATAACGAATACCCCTTCTAAACCACATAAATACATAAGATAAAATTAAAATGGCAACAGAAACTTTAATTTACTCTTCTAACACTCTACTTGCAGTAAAAGTGGTGAATTTTGTGTTTCTTATTTATTTTTACGAACTTCTCTAAAAGGCACCCCAGTGAGTCAGCGATAAGCTTACAACGATAAAATTCAGGGCCCGATTTCCCATGGTTGACAAGGTGCAGATAGTCTATTATTTTGCTTTGCGTTAAATTGGTTTGGTTTGGTTTGTTTTGAATTTCGCGCAAAGCTACACGAGGGCTATCTGCGCTAGCCGTCCCTAATTTAGCAGTGTAAGACTAGAGGAAAGGCAGCTAGTCATCACCATCAACTCTTGGGCTACTCTTTTACCAACGAATAGTAGGACTGATCATCACATTATAACGCCCCACGGCTGAAAGAGCGAGCATGTTTGGTGTGACGGGTATTCGAACCCGCGACCCGTAGATTGTGAGTCGAGCTCGCTAACCACCTGGCCATGCCGGGCCTCTTTGCGTTAAAGCAATCAAATCTACAATACTATAGTATTTTTTATTTGTTTTAATTTGACATGACTAAAGCACTATACGAAGTACGTTTTTGTATCCTGTAATAAATGTTGAAACTCGAAACTGTCTTTGAATATCGAGAATGTGAACCACAGATAATGAAATCGGAAAGAACAAAGACAAACTTATTATTTTTAACGAAGCTAACTCACAAGACTGAGGAAGAACGGATCTGTATCGTTGAATCTGTCGAGAGTTGTGATTAGCCAGTAATACTTGACGATTAACTAGATGGTTCGTGATTACACGGGAAATAAAAGGGGCGTTTAATTGTGACCCTCTGTCGAAAGGAGACTGAATACCCACGGGGATAGTTTTATATATATATAATTCATTAAACGTAGTTGTACGTGACATTAATAAAGTTATCATTCGAAGCAGCGTGCATTAATTGAAGCAATACATGAAAACTATAATCAAAAGGCACTTTATAAGATTTGGAGTTTGTATGACGGAATCACAAGTGTACTCAGTGATTCTGATATAAAGTCATATAATATGCATAATATAAAAAAACCTTCTTAAGCTCAGTTTTTAGTTAACGTATAATGGCTGGAGACGGCTTGAATGGGTAATGAAGAAAAACTTTAATATAACTTTAACATAACAGCAAATGTACAACGTTTCGACAAGATTTTGTCATCAACAGCCCAAAACAATCAAAATACAAGCCACTCGTGGTTTTATTCTAAAACAAACTTCTCGCTCTTACCCCATTAAAAAAAACGTTGTTATTTTAAATATGTTTAAATAATTAGGACAGCGGCACATGTGGTGTAGTCATGGTAAAAAAAAAAACATAACCTGTAACTACTTAATAAAACACCAGTTGATCGTCGTTTCACTGCATTTCAATGTGTTCTTTTTTTTTTAATAATCACCAGCAAATTGCAATTCAGTTAACAAAAACTGGTGTCGTTAGAAATTATGGTTCAATGTAATCACGTAAAAACTTTACATCTAGATTACCACGCTAGTTAGTTTCAACCAAGTGACAACAAATTTAAAAGTGAATCCTACGTACATTTTACATTTAAAGACCTTGACAGTTTTTTACTTTTACATTAATTGTGTTTATTTGTTTGTTGTTAAGCACAAAGTTATATAATCAATTATCTGTGACTCACTAATTAAGCATAGGAGCAGTTGAATTAATTAATTCAAATATTTAAATATTCAATTAAGAGGTTAAAGGTCAATAAAACTTTGTCAACTTCGGTGTTATGACAGTTTGCTACTTTATTTATAAAAACAACTATTTCGATTTGAATTTTTTTTTCTCGTATAAAATTTTTTGATAATGAAAATGCGAAATGCCAGAGGTCGAGGGTAAACATCAGAGTCGGTGGGCGCTTCTTTATTTCAAAATTTGATCATGAGGTTGCCGTTACATCTTACTATAATTGTTGTGTTTTATGTGTAAGCTTCTAAGCCTTAATTTTTCAATGGATTACTTACAAAAGTATTGTGTTTTAAGTTAACACAGTAGTCATATGTTTGTTTGTTTGTTTTTTGGAATTTCGCGCAAAGCTACAGGAGGGCTATCTGCGCTAGCCG